AAGCCAGCCTCAACATGTTACAAATTGTATGACTCCAAGGACAAAACATTTTTACAGTGAGAAAATTATAGCAACAGAGGAAAAAAATCAGTGGGTAGTAGCTATTAGTGATAGATGAGGGTGTACCATGTAACTATTAACAAGTAGCAAGGAGTTCCTTTGAGATATATATTCTATATCCTGACTGTGGTGATGGTAACATAAATCTAATATGAAACACTAAATAAAGAAAAGAAAAGGCAAGCATGTAAAAATTATGAGATCTGAATAAAATCTGTACCTGAGTTAACAGCAGTGCTGCAATGTCAATTTCTGGGTTTGACAACATACTAAGGTTACATAACATAATAGGAAGAAGCTTACCGGTACACAGGAACTCTGTATTGTTTTTGCAACTTCTTATGAGTTTTAAAGTATTCCAAAAGTAAGACATTATTTTAAAAATATAGTAAGAAGAAAAAAAAAAAAGAGGGACATGACCTCTGAAAGATGAGTCAAGGAAGGCTTTATTTCATACAGAGGGAACAAGTACCAAGTTTATGGAAGAAGGACGTGTAACAAGGCCATGGAATTTAAGTGTAACTAAATGTAGAAATAAAGGGGAAGAGGAAAGTAGTTTACAATTAAGAAAATCTGAATCATCCTTCTTGGTTCTGATATCATATAGAACATCAAAGGTCATGTTTAAGGCATCAAATGGGAAATAAGCGAGTTTTAGAGAGTGAAGGTAAAAAGTTATTATTAGTGATGCTTTGTCACATTCTAATCATAGTGATAAACTGACTGAGGGAAGTGATGATGATATCTAGCTACTATTGTAGTCCAGGAGCCATATGATAGCTTGGTCTAGGGTGCTGGTGGCAAAAGAAACGGAGCGTAATGTATACACTTGAGATGAATCATAGAGCATAACAGAAATGGAACATGGCCCTGATTTAAGAGACTGAAATGTTCATTAGATTGGTGACATGGAACTAAACTATTTCAAAGGAACGATGTGGGGTGAAGTGGGGAGTTGGGGGTGCCAGACTGGAGCAATTTAAAGAATGAGAAAATAGACATGAGTTCAGACAAGTGAGGAAATCTGGCAGTTAAAAAAAAAAAAAAAAAAAAAAAAAAACACCAGAGAAATGGGTAGTAGCTGCAAGGGAATTGTGGAAATGAAGGGAGATGTTTTAAAAAGTGGTAGAAAATCGAGCATATTTTAGTGTTAATAGGAAAAAAACTGGCTGAAATAAAAAGGAAAAACGTATACTGAAGAAAAGAAAATAGTTTAAGGACAAGTGTGAAGAAAAGAAATGAAGTTTTGGAGAAGTCAGGATACTCTTGCAGCAGAAGGAAGGGTGGCAAATCCATGAAACTAAAGTATGGCTAAAGTATAAAAAATGAGGAAGAAAGTGGTGGGAAACAGCTCAAAAAAGAGTAGGGCTACTTTCTTCTACTCTAGGAGGAAAAGAGGTGAATTTGCACACAAGAATATCTGATACAGTTTATGAACTCTCTTTTTATCTGTGAAATAGTAAGAGAGCTATGATAGCTAACTAGGGCTACCTTAAAAAAGTACACAGAGGACTGAGTGTCTTAAAACAACAGAAATTTATTTCATCACAGTTCTAAAGGCCAGAAATCCAAGATCAGGGTGTCAGCAGAGCTGGTTTCTTCTCAGGAAACACTCCTTGGCTTGTAGATGGACATCTTCTCTTCGTCTTTCCATGGTGCCTCCTCTGTATGTCTGTGTCCTAATCTCTCCTTATAAAGATATCAATCATATTGAATTAAGGCTCAGCAATATGACTCAATTTTACTTCATGACCACTTTAAAGACTCAATCTCCAAATAAAGTCACATTCAGAGGCACCAGGGATTAGAACTTCAAATATTAAATTGGGGTGGGGTGGGGAGAGACACCATTCAGCCTATAACAAGAGGTTACTTGCCAAGAATGAGAAGGGAGATAGGAGAAATTAGAAGTTCAAAGTGAGGAGGTTTGAAATAATTCTATAACAGTTTGAAATACTTCTCACACTGACTATAAATGAATTATCTTTATTGGGTAATTTCCTTTACATTCAATTTAATTAAAAATGAAATTCTGGCTTAATTATTCCATTAAAAAATTGTTTCACAAGTCAGAAAATCTGAATTCTAGTCTTTTTCAGCCACCAAGCAATGTCCTTTGGATACATCTGGCTCTCATCTTTATCAAGGAACAACCTATCACAGGATAGACATACATCTTGGAATATACTAGAAAGAGGATTGATTTGGGAACCCCTGACATCCTAATCTTACTTCCTGCTCTGTCACAGAAGAGCTTAATTTCTCAGAACCTTACTTCTTCATCCTAAAATCAAGTACAACTAAATCTCTCTAATGTCCCTTCTAAACTCTACTATAGTTCTTTGAATATAGGTGACGTTGCTTTGAGAATAAAGAGATTACAGCATTAAAGGAAAAAAAATTCTTCAAAACATGTGATTAAAAAATTGTATACTTCTGGCATATTGAAACATTAATTCTCCATTTCAATGTTTTCTATATCTTCTTCTGTTCCCAAGTCAACGTTATTCTCATGATTAAAGATGTTCTAAATATGCCTTTTTCTCACCTCTGTTGGCTTAAATACTAGGTGTTGAGTTGGAACAAGATACTACTTCTTTTGTTATATGTAATTATGTGCTGCTGCTGCTGCTGCTAAGTCACTTTAGTCATGTCTGACTCTGTGCAACCCCACAGACGGCAGCCTACCAGGCTCTGCCATCCCTGGGATTCTCCAGGCAAGAACACTGGAGTAGGTTGCCATTTCCTTCTTCAATGCATGAAAGTGAAAAGTGAAAGTGAAGTCGCTCAGTTGAGTCCAACCCTTTGAGATCCATGGACTGCAGCCTACCAGGCTCCTCTGTCCATGGAATTTTCCAGGCAAGAGAACTGGAATGGGGTGCCATTGCCTTCTCCAATGTAATTATCTACTTAACTTTAAATCATTAAATTCTGAAACAGCATCCCTCACACATCTAAAATAATAGTTCTGCATTTTAAAAAGAGCTTAATGGTGGATCATCAGTCAGAAACATATATGACTAAAGTAATAGAAAATACAAACAATGGCTTAATAATCAAGTTTAGTTTTCTCATGTACTTAGTGCAGAAGCTGGCAATTACTCTTGTTGGTTCAGGTGTTCACCAATGCCATCAGGGACCCAGGGTCCCCATAATCTTCCTGTGGAACCATTTTTAGCTTCAATATTTCATATTTAATTAATTCTCATACTTGCAATTTCATGCTTCTAAGGTTTGAAGTCTATAAATTATTACACATTAACAATGTACTTAACAAATTAAAAATTTCTGGAGATGTGTTAAAATTAGAAAAAAAGTGAAACTAAAGGCTGACAGTTATAAGGGGCACTAAACTATTTATTACGCAAATACTGCTGAAGTATACAGTACTCTAGTGACTCACAGAAGGACATTAAAGGGAAGAAAGGTAGTGGAATAATATGTGGGCACTATTTTCTTTAAAGGAAACAAATTTGAAACAGCTGATCATGTTGAAAATGGTCAATAAATTCATGGGCAAAAACAGTTCATCTTATGATAACAAATACTAGTTAATAGGAATTATCTTCATAAGGGAAGCGTTATTTCACATCTGACCATTATCAAAATGAAAAAAAATGCAAAATGAAAGGATTAGACTAGATGTGGAGAATAATTTGCTAACAGAATAAATCACAAAGTTAAAATGTTGATACTGACAACAGTTTTCTTCCTTCAGACTTCTACTTGGTCAATTTTTCTATGATCTATTTGCCCTACTGAGCACAACAGCAAGCATACCAGAGTTTCTGTATTACATTGGCAAGTAATTAAAAATTAAGTGTATTTATATATGTAGCATATAATTTATGCATGTAAATTATAAATTAATACTAATAATATTTGCCCTGAATGAACTGTCTATTTTAAAAACTGATTTATATTAAATGTTTGAACTTAAAAGTCTGAATAAAATGCTTTAACTTTCAAGTTCTATTTTATTGCAAAACACACCAAATACTACTAACAGTAGTGTAATGACTGTTCATCATGAAAAGAGAAAAAAGAAAGAAATTCTAATTATTACTAAGGAGGTAATGAGATACAAGAATTACAAAATTTTTGCTTCTACAAATAGTTTAGATTTTCTTATTTTTCCCTAAAGGAAAATAATTAAGCCACTGAAACTCCTTTCATCCCTATTATCTATGCTTTCTAAACAGCCCTTTAAATAATTTAGTGTTGAAAGCTGGATAAATATAACTTTCATAAGGGTTAAATTTGACTATCATAGCATACATGAACCTTAAACCATTTTATAGGTAAAAAAACTCAATTATGTCCCACAGCAAAACAAAATTTCATAAAATGATAATGCTGAACTTTGGAGAATGATATACTTTAACCAAAATCTATCAGAATAACATTACAGAATATAAAGTAATAGCATACCGGAATGCAAAGCAAAATTCAACCTGACACTATAAAGAGAATGAAATAATTTACCAGCATTTTACTTCTGTCAACTACATATGCTATGTATTTCCTACCACAAAAAAAAGGAGATATCTAGAAATTAAGCTTTAAAACAATACATTCACTATTTGAATATAACAAAAAGAATCTAGAATTTTCATATGCAAGTTTAATAAATCATCAGTTTATTTAACAAGGTTATTTATATATCAGATTGTGGTTTAAGAGCAGTTATATATGTGTGAAATGAAAAGAATGATGTTTGATCTGTAAGAATCTTGTTAAATCTCTTTTCCATGGGCTTTCTCCCTCTACCTGCTTAGCAGTAAATGCCATTTCTAGGTTTATATAAATGCATTCTTTACAACTGCCTTCTTAACAGAAAATCAATATATAAATAGTACTGGGCATCTAGTAAATAAATCACAAACCAGTGAGCTCAATTTTGCAGTTGTGAAATGTAATGTGAAAGAGTTTTTGAAACCTTAAGACTGGGTGATCTGCAGTGTTTCCAACATGTCTTCAACTGCCTTGAGAGAGTATTTGGTTTCCTTCTTACTTCGACCTGCAAACTAATTTTAAAAAATGCAATTAGGCTTAATTACAGTGGCAGGTACAAAATCACAATCGTACTTTCAAATTGTTAATGAGAGTTAACATTATTTTATCACTAGCACAAAATCAAGTATGTTCTTTTTCTTCAGTAAAAAATAAACTTTGGGTTTTAAGAACATTTTCATTAAGGATTCATCTTCAACTGAAGTATAAAATTTCCCTGTAAAATTGACCAGTTTAAATGTTTAAGTAGTATGATAATCTATAAAAACATATATTTGATTTTCAAACTATCGTATCTTTTCAGACCAAAAAACCTTTATGAAATAAAAAGCATAATTTAGAAACAAAATTTGGCTTGTATTTGTGTAGGAGTGTGGACCATTTCTACTTGTGTGACCTCTGATCAAATGTTTACAATTTCAAATAAAGATAAAATATAAATGTAAAGTACTGTTATTTAATATTTTAAAGTTACATTTTAAAGTAAGTAACATTTTAAAGATTTCTCTAAAATTTTTTACAGTAGGTTTCAATTTTTAAAAAAATTTTCCAGTTTTATTAGTTTACTAGATGACATCACGTTTCTGAAAAGCTATCAAATAAAACTCTATGCTATATGTTGAAGTAATATAAACATGTTTTAAAGAATGCATTTCTAGTTTATTAAGTCATAATTTATTTTATAATACCAAATTGGTAATGGATTTTACAATGAGAACAAAATGTAGGGCATTAAATACTATCTTTCAATATTCAAAAAAATTCATGACTTATTAAAATTCAATATAATACGTAATCAGTGGGGAAAATACTGTTGAATACCCGAGGCTGATTTCAAAATGAGTTTTATAACTACACTGACAATTCCCATCATTTATTAGTTTGACTTAACACTACAGATTTACTAGATAAGCATGTTTCCTTGGAAAGGTAAGGGAAGATTTATTATATCTATATTACCTATTTTTCCTCTGGTTAAACTATTGATCAACATTTTCTACTAGCAATATATATTTTCAAGTTAACATTCAAGCACTCAGTATACTTTCAAGTGACTGATCTTTCCTTCAGATACCAATGCTGTCTTAAGTACTTAGTACTTGATTTATGATGTGTTCCTTCTCTTTTGTAATTAACTTAATTTGGCAAACTTTATGTGACCTGTTGAGAAAGATTAAGTGATCAAGTACAGGTAACATCATAGAGGAAACAGGCTTCAGGAATTGCTAACCTGACTCTGACCTCCTTGACTAGAGTTTAACATGATCATTCTCCTAGTTCCTAAACCACTAGTGTCTGTAGTTGAATACTGATTTGACAGAGTGACTATTAATAAAGGAGATTTCTAGAGGAAATGCCAGGGAAAGAAAAACACTTCTCATAAGAATCAAGATCACTTTGCCTTTTATAAGACATTACTAATTTAAGGAATTCAAATGCTGAATATACAGGTCATAATTAGAAACTATGGCAATACCACATTTAAAACTGCCCTTTCATAATTTCCCCTGGTGAGTAAAGGATGTGGAGTGTGCTTATTACTCCTATTACCCAGTTGATAGAGTCACTTTCGCAAGGACTTACCAAGAACAGAAAGCCTTTTCTTTTACCACTGCCTACCCAAAGTAAACAGGAATGATTGTCCTAATCAGATATTTAAAGGTCTAATTCTAAGAAAAAGCATTCTGGGGGAGGTACAAAATAGGACACTAATCTTTTAAGTAGAAAATAAAAATGAAAAAATCATGTAGTGAAGTCATACCAAGTATTTTAACATACAGCACTTTTTTTGGTTTGCACTTAAATGTAATAAAAATAATAAACACAAATTTGTGATTTTTAAAATTAGATTATTTTAGAAAACCACCTACTAAGATTGTCTATCAATGCTACTGACTAGTGCAATTCAGAATAAGCCAAACTGACTTATCTGTGTCAGAATAAATAAAAAGAAAGTTGGAAATATAAATCTATCACTTCAAATTTTACCTGACATGCAATTATTTTGTCTATTCTAGAATTATATGGCAATTTAACTGATTAACCTGGGATCCTATTTTTCCCTCAAATCATGATTTAATTTTCTATTTCCCAAAAGGATAGTAACAGGATCACCTCAGTAATCATAAATAACACATGCATAGACAAATTTAACAGAGTACCAAAGAAGCATTTATCTGGAAAATTATTTTGAGTAGGTTAACATTAAAGTTTTTCATGAGCATTAATCAAACTTGCCTGCCTCTACTGAACATGCTAAACCAATTACCTAATTAAAGAACAAGTAGCAGCCATATTCTGTTTCATTAAGTAAAAACAAAGACAGAAAGGCAGTCTTAAGATCTCATTTTCTCTAATTTTTAAGTGCCTAGAAAAATATTACAATACGGAATACTTATTATATACTTTATACTTGTTTATATGCCTAGACACATCATAAAGTTCTCAATTAGATCCCAGAGATTTATATTACTAAAACATCAATCTCTGAAAGTCATATTGTAGTTTTTCACATTAATCATGAATTTTGCATTTTTCTTTTTCATAGATTTTTAAGTAAACTCTTTTTTCATCATTTCCTGATGGGTCTTAAAGAAAACTCACCAGAAAGATCACTCAAATAATAAAAACTTATCAAATTCAAAGGTCAATGAATGGGACACTGTAAAAGCAGTGCTAAGGGGAACATTCATAGCATTACAGGCCTACCTCAAGAAACAAGAAAAAAGTCAAATAAATAACCTAACTCTACACCTAAAGCAACTAGAGAAGGAAGAAATGAAGAACCCCAGGGTTAGTAGAAGGAAAGAAATCTTAAAAATTAGGGCAGAAATAAATGCAAAAGAAACTAAAGAGACCATAGCAAAAATCAACAAAGCTAAAAGCTGGTTTTTTGAAAAAATAAACAAAACTGACAAACCGTTAGCAAGACTCATTAAGAAACAAAGGGAGAAAACCAAATTAACAAAATTAGAAATGAAAATGGAGAGATCACAACAGACAACACTGAAATACAAAGGATCATAAGAGACTACTACCAGCAGCTCTATGCCAATAAAATGGACAACTTGGAAGAAATGGACAAGTTCTTAGAGAAGCATAACTTTCCAAAACTGAACCAGGAAGAAATAGAAGATCTTAACAAACCCATCACAAGCAAGGAAATCGCAACTGTAATCAGAAATCTTCCAGCAAACAAAAGCCCAGGACCAGATGGCTTCACAGCTGAATTCTACCAAAAATTTAGAGAAGAGCTAACACCTATCTTATTCAAACTCTTCCAGAAAATTGCAGACGGTAAACTTCCAAACTCATTCTATGAGGCCACCATCACCCTAATTCCAAAACCAGACAAAGATGCCACAAAAAAAGAAAACTACAGGCCAATATCACTGATGAACATAGATGCAAAAATCCTTAACAAAATTCTAGCAAACAGAATCCAACAACATATTAAAAAAATCATACACCATGACCAAGTGGGCTTTATCGCAGGAATGCAAGGATTCTTTAATATCTGCAAATCAATCAATGTAATACACCACATTAACAAATTGAAAGATAAAACCCATATGATTATCTCAATAGATGCAGAAAAAGCCTTTGACAAAATTCAACATCCATTTATGATTAAAACTCTCCAGAAAGCAGGAATAGAAGGAACATACCTCAACATAATAAAAGCTATATATGACAAACCCACAGCAAGCATCACCCTCAATGGTGAAAAATTGAAAGCATTTCCCCTGAAATCAGGAACAAGACAAGGGTGCCCACTCTCACCACTCCTATTCAACATAGTTTTGGAAGTGTTGGCCACAGCAATCAGGGCAGAAAAAGAAGTAAAAGGAATCCAGATAGGAAAAGAAGAAGTGAAACTCTCTCTGTTTGCAGATGACATGATCCTCTACATAGAAAACCCTAAAGACTCTACCAGAAAATTACTAGAGCTAATCAACGAATACAGTAAAGTTGCAGGATATAAAATTAACACACAGAAATCTCTTGCATTCCTATACACTAGCAATGAGAAAACAGAGAAATTAAGGAAACGATACCATTCACCATTGCAACAAAAAGAATAAAATACTTAGGAGTATATCTACCTGAAGAAACAAAAGACCTATACATAGAAAACTATAAAACACTGATGAAAGAAATCAAAAAGGACACAAACAGATGGAGAAATATACCGTGTTCATGGATTGGAAGAATCAATATTGTCAAAATGGCTATACTACCCAAAGCAATCTATAGATTCAATGCAATCCCTATCAAACTACCAACGGTATTTTTCACAGAACTAGACCAAATAATTTCACAATTTGTATGGAAATACAAAAAACCTCGAATAGCCAAAGTAACCTTGAGAAAGAAGAATGGAACTGGAGGAATCAACCTGCCTGACTTCAGACTATACTACAAAGCCACAGTCATCAAGACAGTATGGTACTGGCACAAAGACAGAAATATAGATCAATGGAACAGAATAGAAAGCCCAGAGATAAGTCCACACACCTATGGACACCTTATCTTCGACAAAGGAGGCAAGGATATACAATGGAAAAAAGACAACCTCTTTAACAAGTGGTGCTGGGAAAACTGGTCAACCACTTGTAAAAGAATGAAACTAGAACACTTTCTAACACCATACACAAAAATAAACTCAAAATGGATTAAAGATCTAAATGTAAGACCAGAAACTATAAAACTCCTAGAGGAGAACATAGGCAAAACACTCTCCGACATAAATCACAGCAGGATCCTCTATGACCCACATCCCAGAATTTTAGAAACAAAAGCAAAAATAAACAAATGGGACCTAATGAAACTTAAAAGCTTTTACACAACAAAGGAAACTATAAGCAAGGTAAAAAGACAGCCCTCAGACTGGGAGAAAATAATAGCAAACGAAGCAACAGACAAAGGATTAATCTCAAAAATATATAAGGAACTCCTCCAGCTCAACTCCAGAAAAATAAATGACCCAATCAAAAAATGGGCCAAAGAACTA